TCTTACTAGAATAGATACTTACTATGGATACAGATTTGTCTTCCCTGCATGCAGTGCCTCTGCCAAAACTACCATCTAGGGACTTACAGAATGCCTTATCCACCATAATGGTATCCCACACAGTATCGCCTTGGATGATTGGACTCACTTCACAGCTAATGAAGTGCAGTAATAGTCCCATGCTCATGGAATTCAGTGGTCTTACCATGTTCCCCATCGTCCTGAAGCAGCTGGCTTGATAAAACGATGCATTGGACTTCTAAAGACACAATCATGGTGCCAGCTAGGTGGCAATAGATGGCAGTGTCTTGCAGGGTTGTGGCAGTGTTCTTTACGAGAGTGTTTATGCTCTAAGCCAGCATCCAGTATATGGTGCTGTTTCTCACATAGTCAGGATTTATGGGTCCAAGACTCAAGGGGTCTAAATGGGAGTGGCACCACTCAGTATTACCCCTAATGACTCACTTGCAAAATTTTTGCCTCCTGTCCTCACGATTCTGGGCTCTGCAGGTCTATAAGTCTTAGTTCCAAGGAACAGAATGCTCCCACCTGGAGTCACATCACTGATTCCATTGAACTGGAAGTTAAGAATGCCACTTTGGACTCCTTATGCCTCTGGATCAACCAGCAAAGATGGGAGTTTATGTATTGGCTAGTGTTGTTGATCCTGATTACCAAGAGGAAATTGGATTGATATTACATAATGGAGGTAAGGAAGAGTATGTCTGGAATGCAGGAGATCCCTTATGGCTTCTGTTAGTACTACCATGCCCTGTCATTAAAGTTAATGGAAAACTACAGCAACCAAATTCCGATATGACTACTAATGGCTGAGACCCTTTAGGAATGAAGGTTTAGGTCACCCTACTAGGAAAAGAACCATGACCAGCTGAGGTACTGGCTGAGGGTAAAGGGAATACAGAATGGGCAGTGGAAAAAGGTAGTCCTAAATACCAGTTATGACCGTGTGACTAGTTGTAGAAATAAGGACTGTAATTGTTATGAGTGTTTCTTGCTTGTATGTGTGCATAAAATATTTTTCTTTTCTTCACTTACAAAATATAAGTTGTAGACAGGCTAGTGCATTTATGGTTGTACATATATTAGGGCACAATTATGCCTTTATAATTGTCTTTATTTAGAGATTATGTATGCTTTAAGGATATGTATACAGGTGTCAAATTCACAAGGGGTAGACTGTGATGGTTAAGGTTGTGTGTCAACTTGGCTGGGCCATATATCTCAGTGGTTTGGCAGTTATGTTGTAGTTTGGCAGTCGTATAATGATGTCATCATCTCCACAATGAGATCTGATATAATGTATTCACCTCATGATGAGATCTATGAGTAGCCAGTCAGTTGAAACTGTTTCCTTGGGGATGTGGCCTGCATCCAGTATATGTGGACTTTCTGACAAAGCTTAGTGGCTCTTGCTCTTCTCTGGATCCTGTAATTCGGCTCGTCAGCATCTGACCTCTAGTTCTTGGGACTTGAGCCAGTGGCCTGCCGTCTTACTTTCCGATCTTGGATTCATTAGCCTTTGTGGCCTGTGAGCCAGCAACTGCTGTCTGGCCTGTGGATCTTGGGTTCGTCAGCCCCTGCAGCTGTGTGAATCTGCAGAGGCCTCCAGCTTGATGTCTGACCCATGGACTTAGGACTTGCCAGCCTCTACAACTGTGTGAGCCATTTTCTTGAGATCAATCTTTCTCTCTCTATATATATTTTATATATATATATATATGCTTCACTGTTTTGCTTCTCTAGAGAATCCAGCCTAAGACAGCCCTCCGTAGCTTCTTAGCCTCAAATCCAAACTTGACCTTTCCGTTATGGATGATGTGCAGTTATAAATTTGAACTTGTCCTCTCTGAGCCTCACTTTCCTCATGTGGAGAATGGAAATTATGGCCAAGTGAGTGCATCTATTTTACTGGAGGCAAAGACTGCCATCTTGATTGTCTGTTGCCCCTGATACTGATGAGGGCACATGGGTCCTGTGAGGGTGATAGGTTCTGCTACAGTCCACTTCCTGCATTTTTCCACCATGGCTGTTCTGAATTCATCCCCCAGCATCCTTTTCCCCTCTGGATGTGGGGTCTTGTTTCCCATCCACACATGCTGATTAAAAGAGTAACAGACAGGCTGCCCACTGAGGTAAGACTTTTGTTTCCCCTGAATCCTACAAAGTGATGACAGCCACCCGCATGACTTGTCTGTGGATGTGGTGAAGGAGTCCAGGCACTTCCAGATGGAAATGCTGAGTATGAAAGTAAGTATGGGCCCTGTTCAGAGGTTCATCATTAATCACACCTTGCCTTGCACCCCTCTCCCTGAGTTCAGAATGAATTGAGAGGCAGTTACAGAAGTTAGAGAGCAAATAATCTGCATTATCAGCCAAGTGGATTGAGGAATAGAGCTTTGACCAGCAGTCACATGGGCTTTCTAATATGTTACCCCCATATAAGAAAAATGAATTGAGCCCCTCCCCAGTCCTCTAGCCCCCATTGGGCCATGTCAAGCCTACTCTAGGGGGACAGCATCTCAGACAGCACGCTCACTGTAGGAGGAAAGGAGAGCCAGGTGTAAGTCTGCTCTCCTGGGAGGAAGAGCAAGCAAGTGGCCGGGCAGAGAGAGGCCCGAAACGTCCCTCTCATCCTTTGCCTCGTGGAGCCTGGAGGTGTGTAAGAGTGATGTGGCAAGAGGCATCTGACCACCTCTAACTTCCCAAGGGGGAAGGAGGATCAAGATCAACAGCCCAAGGCTAATTCCTATGACGCAGAGGTCGGACATGCCTTCTCTCTCCGCCATCTTTACCAATTCGGACACCAACCATCCCTCTGACGATGTTCTCTACTTCTTAGCTGGGTTTGATAATTCATTGCAATGGCCACACAGAACTCACAGACAATACTCATGATTATGGGGTTTACTGGGGAAGTAACAGGTTATAATTCAGGTTCAGGAATGGCCAGGATACAGTTCTTCTATCAGGACAGCCTCTTCTCAGCCGTGCTTGCAGGCATGCCTCTCTCTGGACCCTCGGCCTCTGCCCTGCTCAGGCAAGTGTTACAAAGCTCTTTTAGCTCTGCTGATAAGTGCCTACTCTGCCAGTAAGCCTTGGCCCAAAGGCGCCCAGCTTTAGTTTCCTGTATTGGCAAACCTAGCTCCACCAAGTGCCTGGAGGCACCCTACTCCTCCTACATCCTACTCAGCTTTCTCACTCCATGGGCTGGGAAGCCTACTGCACCATATCCTGCAGGTCTCTCCTGCTGCTGTTTGTCTGCATCACTTCTTGCTGTCTTCAGTGTTACAGCTCTCTCCATCTCCCAGTCTCCTGGTTCCAGGAGCTTCTCAACACAGGGATCCCAGGTCCAAAGTTCAAAGTACACGCTCAGCTCTTGACCCTTCTTCCTTGGTAGTGGTGAGATCCTCTCTCTGCTGTAGAATTGACTCTCTTTTAAGCCTAGAGGGTTGGCAAAACTGATCAGTCTCCTTGGTGGTTCACAATTAACCTCATTTGCACAATCCCAGCCAATCGCTTAGGTGGGAGTTACAAGACCATGGCGAGAAAGTCCACACAAAAGTGACCCATCGTACTGCTGGGTGAAAGTTACCTACTCTCCATAAAAATGTGAGGAGTGGGGGATAAATTGTTCCCCTCAAAATGTCTAGAGAAAAATAGCCAGTGGGCTTAATAATAATAGGGCACTGGGTAGGAGATTGAAGACCTACCAGCTTTCTCTCTTCTTTTCATTTTAGTTGTCAGGAATTCTAGTCCTGGAGAGGCCATGTGAACCTTTATTGTTGCTAGGTTCCCCACAACTTTGGGGAATCTCTGAGCGTGTATGGAGAGGAGAGAGATGGCATTCAGGTTTGTGAAAGTTGATGTTACACTGCTCCAGGGAGCTGTAAAACCAGAGAACTCTTTTCAAACATGTTATGGATTGAATTGTGTCCCCCTAAAATGTGTGTTAACTTAGCTAGGATTTCCAGTATTGTGTGGTTGTCTACCATGTTGTCATCTGATGTGATTTTCCTATGTCTTGTAAATCCTACCTCTATGATGTTAATGAGGCAGGATTAGAGGCAGTTATGTTAATGACGCAAGACTCAGTCTACAAGATTATGTTGTGTTTTAAGTCAATCTCTTTTAAGATAGAAAAGAGAGAAGTGGGCAGAGAGACAGGGGACCTCATAACACAAAGAAAGCAACGCCAGGAGCAGAGCGCATCCTTTGGATCCGAGCTTCCTGCGCTGAGAAGCTCCTAGACCAGGGGAAGATTTTTGACAAGGACCTTCCCCCAGAGCCGACAGAGAGTGAACACCGTCCCCTGGAGCCCGCGCCCTGAATTTGGACTTCTAGCTTCCTGGACTATGAGAGAATAAATTTTTATTTGTTAAAGCCATCCCTTTGTGGTATTTCTGTAAGAGCAGCACTAGATAACCAAGATAATCATTAATAGAAAGCATTTATCAAGTTCTTTCTATGGGCCAGACCTAGACTAAGCATCTTAGAAGGAATTATCTGGTTTAATGATCACAGTAACCCTGTGAAGTAAGAGCTGTATTATCATCCCATATTTACCACAGATGGAGCCCTGGTGACATAGTGGTTAAGAGCTCAGCCACTAACCAAAAGGTCAGCAATTCAAATCCACCAGTTGCCCCTTGGAAACCATATGGGGCAGTTCTGCTCTTCCCTGTAGGGTCGCTACGAGTTGGAATTGACTCGATGGCAACGGTTTTTTTTTTGTTTTTTTTTTTTTTTTTTCTTTACCACAGATGAGGAAACTGAGGCTAGATTAAATAATTTTTCTAAGAGTTCCCAGGTAGTAAGTAGGGAAGTCAAGGACTTTGGCCTAGGGATTCTGACCTCTCAGCCCATATCCGGAGCCCCTGTTTGTCCCCCTCTGTGGCTTGCACAGCCACAGCAGCTAGATTCTTGGGGTAGTCATTGGTCCCGGCTCCCTGGCTAACCATTTTTTCTGCCTTTTTTCTTAGAAGCTGCCAAGAACTCTATTCTTCATGTGAAAGCCGAAGTGCACAAGTCTTTGGACAGTTACGCAGCCAGCTTGGCCAAAGCCATTGAAGCTGAAGCCAAAATCAACTTGTTTGGGGAGGAGGCTTTGCCAGGGGTCTTGCTGGCAGCACGTACTCTCCTGGGTGCTGGCTTCGGGGGCCGCCGAGGCAGCAGAACTCACGTAAGCCAGCGGCTCCAGCTGCAGAGCATTGAAGAAGGGAACGTTTTAGCTGCGGAACGGAGATGAAGGCCTCCAGGGGGACTGCAGCCAGAGCTGGAGGTGGTGGTCTGTGGTGGGATTCCCATTATCATCTGTGCTGGAGCCTGCAAGAGCACATCAGCATGTACCGGGGGCCATACACTGTTGTGGGGAAGGAACAGCATCTGGTGTGCAGTCACCAGCAAAAGGATTGGAAACTGTCTGGAGTTGGTGACCTCAGTGGCTGCTGCCAGACCACACATAGGTTTGTCTTAGGCCCAGTGCTGGGACCAGAGGCGTCCAAAGCACAGAGGAAAGCAGACGGAGGTGTGGTCTTGACTTTTTGGGAGGTGAGCCATAGATGGGGGGCTAGAGACCATGGGCTTGGAAGGAAACCACCGTGTCGATCATTTCATCTTCTTCACAACTTGCAACCTGGGGTTCCAGGCATGTCCTGAGGCTCTCAGGAGTGAATCCTTCCCAGTGCACTGTGGGAACCACACGTCTTCCCGACAAAGCAAGAGCATCCCCGGGGCTTCTGTGTGGTTGATGCGGGCAGTGTGGGGTCTTCACTTCTAGACTAAGTGGTCCCCAGAGAGAAAACGCAGGAGCAGAGCAACCCAGACGGAGTTCCCAAACCTCGTCTCCTGGTTCCAGCCTTGCCTTCAGTGGAGTCCCCTGCTGGTGCTAGTCAGGGCAGCTCACAGGCCACAGGGCAGAGGAAGACAATGCCCAGCCCAGCCCACCCACTCCCTACGGACAGATAATTTGGTGTTTTAAAGAAGGGAGAAACCACTGTAACAGACAGGAGGAAAGGGCAGGTGCTGGGCGTTTCATTTTCAGAATTAAAAAAATCCATTTGACTAGGACACATCACTGTCTTACCAAGCCAGAATGGGGCTGTGGTACGAAGCATAGCCTGGAAATTGAGATGTTGTTATTGGAGGGAACCCCTTTCCCATAGGAAAGCCTTGTGGAATAGATGCTATTTGTGATGTTATATGTGGCCAAATAGAGTTGGCCTCCAGTTTCCAAGGGGATACTCCTAAGTTCAACAGGTACTATTAGTACAACCCTGAGCAGCTAGGATAGAGAAAGCACTGGACCCAGAGTCAGCAACCTGGTTTCTCAGCCTTGCTTTGCCTCTGCCTACACATGTAGTTTGGGGCATTTTGTCACCTCTCGAGGCCATCTGTGAAATGAGAGAAGGGGGTGGGGAGTTGGATTGAATGGTATCCAAGATCGTTTCTAGCTCTGATCTTCTTTGATGTTCTCTGAATTTATAGAGATACCTGTTGCCGTAGAGTCGATTCCGACTCATAGTGACCCTATAGGACAGAGTAGAACTGCCCCATAGGGTTTCCAAGGAGCACCTGATGGATTCGAACTGCCGACCTTTTGGTTAGAGATAGGGAACAAAAAGATAGTGGACCCACTGACCAACATTTATATCATTTCAAGTGTCATTCCTAATGGATGAATAAAACGCTGCCTGGCTCCAGGTTCTGGGTCTGTGTCTGACCTGTCTGTTTAGAGCACAGTCGTGATAGAATGCCAATCCCCAATTTGCATCTTGGAGGAAGAGGGACACTTCCTCAAAGGCAGAAGTGGAACAGCAGGAATTGTGATTTGTGTGGTGAAATCTTTCTCCTCTCCCCTTTGAGGGCCTGGTGAGGGGAGTGTCTGTTTTTTTTTGTTTTTTTTTTTTATTGTAGTTTAAATGAAGTTTACATTTCACGTTAGTCTCCCATACAAAATTTTATACATACATTGTTATGTGATCCTAATCGCTCACCCCATTCTGTAACAGCACACTCCTCCTTTCCACCCAATTCCCCATGTCC